CGCAGGCGCCCGGGGCCCGCCGGCGGTGGCGGCCATGGAGCGGAAAGGTGAGCGCGGCGCGGCCTCCATCGCGCCGCGGGGCCCCCGCAGCGCCCGCCGCCCTTCACGCCTCTCTCTCCTTCTCTCCCTCAGTGCTGGCGCTGCAGGCCCGGAAGAAGCGGACCAAAGCCAAGAAGGACAAGGCCCAGAGGAAGTGAGTGCGGCCGCGGCTCTCCCTTCGGGCGGGCATCTCCCGCCGGCACCGCCGCCTCTTTGTTCCCCCGGCCCTGCCCGCGGGGACAGCGCTGCCGGGCCCGGCGGCCCGGAGGGCGCTCGGGGCAGGGCAGCGTGCGAGCCCCGGGGGCCGGGCGGGTTTTTAACCGGAGTTAACCGAGCGCGGCGCGTGGCCCGGGGCGGCCGTTTTGCCGCCCGGCTCTGCCCGGCTCCCCGCAGCTCCTCGGGCCGTGCCTGCCCTGCTTCTCCCCGGAGCCCCGCCGTGGAGCTGCGGCGGTGCCGAGGCACGGGCTGCGGCGGTGGTCTGCCCTCGCACGGGGTTGTCAGCGTCCCCTCTCTGCAGCCCCCGGGGCGCTTCTGCCGCTGCCGGCCTTAGGAGCCGGCTTCTCTCCGCTCTCTCCCCCCTCCTGACTCTCTTTCCCCCTGAGATTTTTTTTTTCTCCTTGCCGAAAGAATGCCGTGGTGTGTTGTTCACTTCGTTGTCTGACTTTGATGCTCTCGTGCGGCTCCTTTCGCACCGCAGGAATGTCACGAGGCTTTATGTGTGGGGAACTTTTGGAGGCAGATGTAGAAATGAGGAGAACTCGAGTAAATGCTAAACAATGGCTTTCGGCAGGCTGCACTAATGCTGTGTTCAGTGCTGCTCGTGGATTCCTCTCTACCTTAGATTCTTAGATTCCTTTCTGCCTTTCTTAGAAAGGTGATGCTAATCCTAGAGCTGGTTCTGTATACTCCATAAAATGCTGCTTATTTCTGTATACTCCAAAAGATGCTGCTTATTTCTGTAAAGTCTCTGATGATTCAGGATGTTTTGTACTTGAAGGGTGCCTAGGACCAGAGATAGTAAGGCTAAGGGTTTGGGGATGGGAATTGGAGGGGTTTTTGTTTAGGCCTAGAGTAATGCTTTCTCAGCCACTTCCTCAGACACATCACAGGGATTTAAAATATTTTTTTCTTGTTGCCTTCAGCCAAGAGTCAGTGGTTTTGAGATGGGGCTTTTGAAGCCTTAACCAAAGTATTTGGGAAATATGCATTATGGTTCCATGCTATTCCATACGTGTCCCAGGTATTCCTTGAAGGTAGCATGAGGACAATTTTTGAAATGCTCTCCTCCTCTAATTTCTGGATGAATAATCCATTGTCTAATTCTATATGTGTTAATTTTTTTTTTCTTTCTCTAGCTTCAGACCAGCAATACTGACTCTGCCCACAGAGTATTTCTGGATGAATAATCCATTGTCTAATTCTATATGTGTTAATTTTTTTTCTTTCTCTAGCTGCAGACCAGCAATACTGACTCTGCCCCCAGAGCTCACAGTGCAGCTGGAATTTCTGTGTAGATTTTGAGGCTGCTGCATGATAACTTTCAGAGCTGGCATGTTAGGGGTTTTTTGTAAATCTTTTTTTAACCACATATTCAGGACAGGTTAAATGCCCTGCTGCTTAGCTCTTGATTTTGGCACTAACCTTGATTTGAGTGCAGAGCCATGTTATTTGTCAAGTGCTGTGTTTATATTCTTACACTTTATGCTTCAACTCTTTTCTCTGGTACCATGAGTTTATTAGATTGTATCTCAGAAATTAAAGAAACTTGCATGTGCTTTATGCTGTGCAATTAAATGAACTCAGTGTCAGCCTCTAACTTTAGGTACAGTTCCACAACATTTATTCTATTTAAATACAAAGCTGCTCTAGTTAAATCTTCTAAAATAGGCTTAACTGGGTTGTTTCATGACTTTCCATAAAATCTATACTTGAAACCACATGCAATGTGCTTTTAATGTCTGATGTTCCATCATAGTTTACATCACACATGCAATTTTTTTCTGTAATACATTTTTCTTCACATATGCAGTAAATAGCATGAAACAAGGATTTAAAAAGGTTTACTATTTTGAATTATTATATAAAATTGCAGAGAGTGTTCTGAAGGGAGTAAAGCCAATTCAAAATATCTTTCATTTTAAAAATGAACTACAGCTGCTTTAAGTTTACCTATAAACTTAATATAATTTAAAAAAGAATATAAAAAAACATTTGGAAAGGTTAAAAGAAAGTGGAAAGTTACTTATTTTTTCATCATCCAGTAGTTAATATTGCTGTTTGCTTGGTTTAGACGAGACCAGTCTAAACTGATGATTTACAGAAACATCTTGTAAATGCTAATTATGGTTCTTTTAATTTTAATTAAGCTTTTTTATAGGAAATTAGTATATATTTTTACAGGAAGGTCAACCACATTCTTAATTTTCTGCAAGATCAGGATGATCCTATTTGTATTACTCCTTCCTATCTTAAAAGTTTGATTTTATATCAATGGAGTAGAGCATGCATTTATCCTGACACTCCTGTAGAAAGAGAGCAGAGTTTCTTGGGACTCTGGAGGTGAGGTACCTGTAATTTCCATTGCCCTCGTAATTTTTTCATTCAAAACCAGAAGTGATTATCAAACCACGACAGGACACAACTGAAATTTGCTGGTTTCCATAGAAATCCCTGGGTTTGTGATAGCTGGACTAGCAGACAGCTCTACAAACAGCTTGTTAAGTGCTTGTGTGGGGGAGTGCGGATGGGAAGAAAGAAACTTGATTGCCTGTTATTTGTGTTTTAATACCTTTCTTATGTGAAAGCCAGTACTTATCTTCAAACTGAGCTCCCACAGATCTGCTAATCAAAATATGTCTTGGTGCCTCTGAGGACTGATATTTAAAAGCAAAATGTTTGACCATCTCCAGTCTTCTTTTAAGTTCTTGACAGTGGAGCTCTGGGATGAGTGCTCTGTAACAGCAAGTATTGTGGATCTGCCCTTCTGGCAGAAAACACCAGCTATTTACTCAGAAAAATAGGGATGCAACAGTGCAATAATCACAAAATAACCTGGATTGTGCAGTCACAAGTCCCCCACCATCGATGATTTCTAATTCTCCCCAAAACAGTTGGAATTTCTGGAGCAGAGAGGCTGGCTGCATCCGAGCAGGAAAACTTGGATCATTTCAGACCTGAATGGTGCTGAAAGTTGTGTGTGGTCAGTTACCATGTTCATTGAGCACCATGAGCTCTGCCAGCAGATCTGCGTGTGAGCTCTCATTCTCACTAGATGTGCCTTAACATGAAATTACAGAAATAGTAATGAGATGCAGCCTGCAAGCATTCCTCCTTAAAGAAACATTGTCTGCGTGCACAGATGTGGGAATGGGAGAGGGATTTTAAATCCTGGCTTTTCCCCGTGCCATGTGGAGCTTCTTCTGGAATGAAAACATGGAATCCTTCAGTGAGACCTTGCTGGGTTGGGTGTGGAGCCCAGCAGACCCCTGGCTGGATGGTTGGGGTGGGAAGAAGAGATGTGGGGTGTGTTTGCAGTGCCTTTATCTGGTGCCTGCAGTGGGAGCTGGCTCTGTCATTCCTCCTGCGTTCACTCAGCTGGGTTTTGCTTGGGGGTGTTTCAGGGGTGCAATTTGAGCTCGCCAGTAAGGGGTGACACTGTTTATAAAGACTGTGTTGTAGGCTACTTAAAATTAGGAAGGCATTTCCCTTCAGTTTCCTGCAGATGGGCGTCATCTTTGCAAATATCAAGGGAGAGGCAGACAGGGAGAGGAGTAAGGAGAGTATCTTTTTTTGTTAGTATGTATTTAAGGATGATGGGTGTGACAATAGTAATTTGGCCTAAATGCACCTTGCTTTCCTTGCTTGAGGGTGGAAGGAGTCTGCTTCTGTGTCTATTCAAGGCAAGCAATTAGGTAGCATGGACAGTATTTCTGCTGTTTCAGGGACAAGGAAGACTCTTTGCTGTCCAAAACAGAGTTTTGAAGTCACTCTTAATGCTCTTGAATAGGAAAACCAAACACCTCCTTTCAAGTGTGTATTTTTTAATGTAAGTTATTGGAGCAGAGAGAACACATTCAGAGTTTGATGGTGAAGTTCAGTGTGGAGACTTGGCTGTGTCTGGTAATTTATAGAGGGTACCCTTCCTTCTCTGCAAATCTGTAAGAGCCCACATTGTGTGGCTGAGATTTCTTAATCATTTTTTGCCTTACTTTTTGTGTGTGGACCAGATAAATGATTCCACTGAAAACTGGCAAGAGAATTCCACAGTGTTTTTCCAAATTGCTTTAACACCTTCTGTAAGGAGCAAGTGAGTGACTCAAATCTGAGCTCCTGCAAATAACTCTTCACCATCCCTGCTGTGCATTGCAGGGGTTGGGTGCTATCTTCAGTGAACATGGAGCAAAATCTTGTCTACAGTGGAAAATTTTCAATGTCTTTAGTTCCTTTTCTAATATGAAGAGGTTTGGCAATGCTAAACTATTAAAAGCATATTCTGTGAGCTTTTAAGGTGAAAATATTTTAGACATACAAGTGGATGAAGACAATTCCTTAAACCTCTTGCTTTAAAAGTGCAGGGGCAGCATCGTTGTGTCTTTCACTAACAAAGTCCTCCCTAGGAGAGAAATCTCTAAATTGTTACTTGCTATGTCACATTGTTGGTGACTTGTTTCCCCTATCACTTACATAAACCAGCAGGATAAACAGGCACAGGAAATGACTGGGAATTGTGCATTGTTGGAAGATGATGTTAAGTACCCGCTGCTGTGAAAAATACTCAGTCCAACTTTTTAAAGAAGATTTCACTCCTGCTTGTTTTGTCATTTTAAGCATAAAGGATAAGTTTTTCTTGTAACTCTGGAAGGGGAGGTGTGGAATTACGGCAGTAAATTTATTTTTCCTTTGAACACTCTTTCCCTGCTGAGTGATTGTGCTGGAATTCCTCTATCAAAAGGGTTTCTCTGTCGACAATTACCATGATCCTTGTCTTCATCCCAGCTTTGAATCCACCGGGCTATTGAATAGGCAAATAAAACCGGCTGGTTCAGGAAGATGAAACAAAGTATCTGCCTGAATTTCTAATTTCATTAGAGGCAAGAAGAGCCACGTAGACATCAAGAGGAGGGGATGACTCTTTATGCTCACCCCCCTGCCATGACTGAATTTGCAGGAAGATCAGCTGAGAGCAAGCCCCAGCCTTGCTGCACGGCCCTTCACCTGCAATGCAGTGCTGGGCAGCTGCAGCTGGCTGCTGGAGGCAAATCCCTCTTCTCCTTCACTCTTGCACAAAGCTTTGCTGCATTTGAGGAGAGCCAGCCCCTCTGCCTGCTGCTGATGTCCCCCTCCCTCCCCAGCACTCTGGTGTCTGACTTTTGATGGCTTTTTCGAAAACTATTGGGCTGTCTTCAGGAATATCTGTACCCATGGGAGGCCGTGCTTCTTGCAGGTAGGTTCCCCTCTCTGATTTTTGTCTCAAGAATTTGCAGCTCTTCAGGGAATAGAGACTTTTGGGGGGGTCTCTCTAGATGTGGATTCACACGAATTCCATAGAAGACTTAGCATTTTGCCTTAGCTTTTCTGTTCCACGTTGTTTTTCTTAAGTAAAATATTGCTGTGTAGTTGTAAAGAGACCCTGCAGATCCAGTTCATTCTGATGATTAATTAGCACAATGAGAGAGCAAAAGGAAAAGATGATCATGGTGTTCTTCTGTAGATCAGAGGTGGCTATAAAAGAAAAAAGTACCCTAGAACACTTGGTGTTTAATGTGTAAACAATCATTTAGTATAGGATTTTTATGTACTTTATCTGCATTTTGCAATTTTGACAACAGCTGTTTCAGCTGTCATCTCTAAATACTGGGCATGGATTTTTCTGCTGTCTTTAACAGCCTTTTGTGCCTTTTAGAGTACTGTCTTTGCAAGCAAAGCAGACAGAAGAGGCTTGTGCTTTTGTATATTATTTTTTCTTAGGTATTAATATATATTCTGCACTGATTAATTCTCTCTCAGTCTCTATCTTTGGCTGACATGGTTGTTTCAGGGGAAGAACAGGGTGGTGTATAATAACATCAAACAAATTTTCACAGGAAGGCAAAAGAATGAGGTGTATTTTGGAGGTGATTTCATAAAGGAAATAGCACTGTGGAGATGTATGTGACCTGAATTCAGCTTTCTTCCATTAGCTGGTATCACAGACTCTAATGTAGAAGTGAAATGCTTTTGGATCCCCATGAAAGACTCGGCTGCAGACTCCAGGGTGTGTCGTGTGTGAGGCTGCCAGCAGCAGGATTAGTCAGCCCCTTAGGAGGGGCACAGAAAGCTTCCAGGAGAATGGGCTTCAGTGCTTCCAGTAACTTCTTCCTCCGTGCATGGAATTGCTGGTATTGAGAAGCACTGGGACTGCAGAATGGTGGGATGTGTCTGTCTGCACCACTGCCACTTCAGGGGCATTTTCTGTAGAGTCCTTTTTAATCCCTTACATCCTGTGCAGCTAAAAAAGTGAAAATCCTGAAACATCACTGGGGAGAATTACTCTTTACTGCTCATGCTGTGTGTAAGGCTCTGGCTTAAAAATCTTTCTGTCCAGCTCCTGTACCCTGTCCATAGAATTTGTTGTCTGTGAGCATCTAATCTCCCCTTCAACTGTTCTATGGCCATTTCTTGCCTTTGCTGTCTGCTCTTATTTTGGGGTAATGTGTGACTTTATTTGTATCTCAATTGTCCCCAAAGAAATGCAGCAATTTTAAAGAAGCTTTTTGACCTCTAAGATTTTCTGCACCCCCTACTGCAGGTTTCCTTCTTCCTACCCCTGACTTATAATTCAGTGACTAAAAAGTCTAAATACTAAATATTTCGGGGCTGGATCAAGCTGCAGGGTTCTTAATAGAAGTCTCATTAGCTTGGCAGTCTTTGGTTTATGGTTTGAGACCATTAAGCTGTTCCTGAATTAAAAAAAAAATCAGCAGGACTTTAGGACAGCAGACTGAAACTAAATGTCTGGTGGTGGGTTGTGCCTGGAAATGACCTTTGTAGTTCTTCCTTGTTTAGATGAACTTGAGTTGTGATTTTAAGTGACTGCCAATTCAGTCATCATCAGGTTGCAGTGCAGGATTTCTGCCTTTTTATGATGTTTTAGATGCCTGTAGTTTGAATGTGTTTAATGTGTGGATGTGTTTAATGTGTGACATCTCAGCACAGAGTGCATGTGTAGTAGGGCAGTGCTGAACATTCATTCTACTGTATAACTGTTCCAAATGAAAATATTACATTTCTCCAGTGGATTAAGATGAGTTAGCACCTGATACGATGTGCACGAGTCCAGCTCAGGACTGAGCTGTGAAAACTGCATCTGAGGGCCTGCCTGTACTGCTGGCATAGCCCCTGGGTGGGCAGTTCTTCCTTCTTGCAGCAAAAGGAGCTGAATTTGAAAGAGGGGGCTGGAAGGGCCAGTGTTATCTGCTGCTTCCCTGCAACAATAGTTTCAATACAAGAAACTTCCGCTAATTCACTGCTGGGAACTCTCTGTGAAGAATGTTATCTGAGCTTGTGTCACTGCTGTGATGGAGTTTGCTGCCCACTTCTTTGGACAACTCCAGCTTTTTTTAATATCTCGTGCTTCTGAGAGGAGAGGAAGCTTAATGTTGATACCTTGCAGTACTTTGCATTTAAATGCTGCCAAAGCAAGTGGTCTGTAGGCATTGTTCTCATTACAAATGTTTGCTTTGTACAGAGGTGTCTTGAATCTTTGTAGGCATTTAATTGTTCCCTGTAATGCTTTGTAAAGTAAATAAATTACCTGATTTTGGTATTAGCCTTTCATGATCAGTGTGATGCCCTGAAAGAGCTGAGATATGGGAGATGTTTTATTTGGGGAGCACAGCCTGAGTGTGTGAGGGCATGGAGGTGACCTGGCCTTCACAAGCAAGAACTCAGAGTAGCACATTTGATGGAAAGTTAAACACATAAAATGAACACTTATTTATGATTGTGGGAGTGAAAACCCTCCTGCACCTCAGTGCCTGGTTCCAATCCCTCTGCAATCACAAGCTCTCAGGAGGGTTTACTGAACATCTGCTCTGTGTCCTCCCACTCTCCATAGTTCAGACAACTGTAATAAACTTTGGATCTCGAGTGAAGAGATGAACTAAAAATGCAGCCTGCCCCTTGAGAACGGGAGAAATAAATGTCAAGATTAGGGGCTGTAGTGTTCTGAAGTGTTAGAAGCAGAAGGACTGTTAAATATTCATTTGACCTTGAATATGAAAGGAACAAAGGGCCACAAGCTCTAAAACACTGGTTCACTTTTTTCCCCAAAAGAAAGTAAAAACTAACTGATGTTAGTCTTTAGAATAAAATTAATATTTAAATTTTGAAGTGTACCTAGGATACCAAAATATAAATCTGCTTTAGAGAAAGGCAGAGAAGGGGTTCAGAGGCTAACATTTTGGTGGGATCATTAAGCTTTTAAATCTGTCTTGTTTGGACTTTGCTTGGTTCCACTATGAAAGTGGATCAAGGGCATTAAGTGTAGTATGCAAAAATTTTTTTCTGCCTACTTTTAGCTTAGGAATAAAAGCACTGCTGTGTGTTCTGTGTGAGAAGTGCAGTGTGATCTCTGAGTGTGAGACATGTGCAGTGTGATCTGTGTGTGTGAGAAATGCAACGTGATCTGTGTTCTGTGTCAGAAATGCAGTGTGGTCTGTGTGTGTCAGCAATGCAGTGTGATCTGTGTCAGAAATGCAGTGTGGTCTGTGTTCTGTGTCAGCAATGCAGTGTGGTCTCTGTGTGTCAGAAATGCAGTGTGATCTCTGTGTGTCAGAAATGCAGTGTGGTCTCTGTGTGTCAGAAATGCAGTGTGATCTCTGTGTGTCAGAAATGCAGTGTGGTCTCTGTGTGTGTCAGAAATGCAGTGTGATCTGTGTCAGCAATGCAGTGTGATCTCTGTGTGTCAGAAATGCAGTGTGGTCTGTGTCAGAAATGCAGTGTGGTCTCTTTCAGACCTGACACCCAGCACCGGGGCCCTGCTGCTCAATCTGAGAGTGATCTTCCAGAGCAAGAGGAGGAAATCCTGGGGTCAGATGATGATGAGCAAGAGGATCCAAATGATTACTGTAAAGGTGAGCACTTGCCTGTTTAGGATGCATGATTTTCAGTGCAATCAAGGAATCCCCTCAATTTAGAGAATGAAAACAGATTCCCTCTTACATAAAGAGTACTTTGAAACTGCATCATGATAATAACATTTTTCAAGCCAACATGAAATGGAGAAGGTGGTCTCCAAGTTTTCTTCTGTTACCAGTCAAGATTTGAGTTGCAGAATTGTTTTTAGTGCATAAGTTTAAAGCTGTTACTTTTCCTCTGTGCCAGAAGGCTTTCAATATTGATAAAAGCAAGTAGGCATTTAATTATTTTTTAAAAATTTTATTGTAAAAGGGACACTTTCAAATCCTTTTCATATTTTTCAGTTTTCTTTTGAAGATCATTATCTTGATATCCATTCTTCAGAAAAATTTGTTTCTGCAAATAGCCTTCTCTTGTTTTTCTGAGGAGGAATGAAATACAGAGCAAGTGAAAACACCAAATCACAATTTCTTCTCTTTGTTCTGTTTTCTGCCAGTTCCATCTTTGACTTTTCATGTTTTTGCTTCTGTGATGGACTCCCCCTGTATAGTCAGGAGATATGAAGGGTGCAGAGGAGACTTTCCTCTTTTCAGTGGCAGAGTGCTTTCCAGTCAGGAAAGTTGCAAGGAGAACAGTTTGGATCTTGGTTGCAGTTCCAGATCTTGGTTACCTCTTTCATGTTCTAGGCTCAGAGCATACAGAATCAATGCTGATATTTAGCTGGAAGGTTCTGTCACCATCACAGCCTGTGTTTTCCAAAGGTAGTCAGCCTAGCAGATGCAGGTGTTGTCACTGGGGAGATCTTTGGTGCTGCAGTGGCTGTGATGCTTGTTCCCCTCAGCTGCTGTTGGGTTCTTGTGTTTCTGCAGGGGGTTACCACCTTGTGAAAATTGGAGATCTCTTCAACGGGCGTTACCACGTGATCCGCAAGCTTGGATGGGGTCACTTCTCCACCGTGTGGCTGGCTTGGGACATCCAGTGAGTGCTCCTGCCAGGCGTGCGCAAACCTGAGCAGAAAACATCCTCTCACTTTTAGATAAAAACACAGAACATTAGCTGTCCACATCCTAGAACGGGAGTTTCTTCTGCTATTGTGCATGCAAGTGTGTGGGAGGGACTTAACAGGACAAACTGTATCTGTGGGAAGAGTTGTGTTCAGTCTCTGACCTATTTTTCCATATTTTGAGAAATGACTAACACCAATCTTTTGTTAAAAAAAGACTCAAAGGCAGTCTTTGAGTGTTTAAACCTTGTTTTTCCATGATGTATGAAATAAACTGTCTTGCATGCAAAAGAATTGGGATAATCCTGGGGGATAAGTTCTCTGTATGAGCATTAACAGTTCCCAATTTACTTGCCATGTGTGCACAGAGGGAGGAGGTTTGTGGCAATGAAGGTGGTGAAGAGCGCAGAGCACTACACAGAAACAGCACTGGATGAAATCAAATTGCTGAAATCGGTGAGTGCCTGAATTTGGCTCAATTTTATTTACTCCTTTTTTTTTTTTCCCAATTTTGGGGAATTTACATCTGTCAGATCAAATTGCTGAAATCGGTGAGTGCCTGAATTTGGCTCAATTTTATTTACTCCTTTTTTTTTTTTTTTCCCAATTTTGGGGAGTTTGCATCTGTCAAATGCTTGATGTTTCCAGATCATCAGGAATTTCTGTAGGAACTAAACAGTGCAGTGGATCTGACATCACAATAACCTCTTTCTCTGCAGGTCCGCAACAGCGACCCGAATGATCCAAGCAAAGAGAGAGTTGTTCAGTTATTAGATGACTTCAAGATTTCAGGAGTGAATGGTTCCCGTATCCTTTTGTGGAATAAAAGCCAAGAACTGAAAAGATGGGAGTTTCTTGGGCAGCTGCCCTGCTTTGGCAAGCAGTGCCCAGGCATCCCTTTCCCTGCCCAAGGAAGCCTGTAGGAGGATCTGCCCCCAAACTGCCTGCTGAGCTCACATCCAGAGTGGTGATTCAGCCTGGTGAAATTTGTGTCAGCACTGCTTGCTTGTGCTTTTAATGTTCTGCCACCAATTTGTGAATCAGGACTGAGTGCCTGTGTCTCCTGCCTTTGAGGTAGGAGAGCCCATCTACCTCAACCCCTCAATTTTCAAGCAGCCTGTTAAGAACCTGTTATTTCAGTACAGCATGTTAAAACCAGCAGCTGAAAATAGCCAATGAGCCATCTAGAACTTGAAAATAAGCTGGGTTATCTAGTTATGGGAACATCTTACTTTGTAATTTATCAGCATTGTTAGGATGTTTGCAGTGTGTTGCTCTGACAGTGGCCTGTAGTTCTGGGAGCAGCCTTCTCACAGGCAGTGATGTGTAGCAAGTGCTAATAATGGATCCTCAAAACTTCAAAGCTGGACTTTTGTGCATTGTTTTCACTTGGAAATAAGTTACATTTTATTTCAGTGAGAATTGCTGGGCTGCTTGAGAGAATTGAGCTGCAGATTATAAAAAGCAGACCCATAATGCATTTTCTCTAACTTTTTTTCTGAGTAAATGTTGATTTGAGCTTATATTTCTTCCACTCTTGTGAAAAACATACTTTCTGCCAGTGTAGATGAAAAGGAGCCTAATAAACTCATAGAAGCTTGGCTTCTAAAATGGGGGCACTGTACTGAATATGTCACTGGAGTGACTGTAGCTGTTGAGATCTTAGAGCTCAAAAGCAGATCATATAAATATAGTTGGAAATCCAGGCTTGTCAAAAGTTTGTTTTGCTGGTTAAGAGGCAAAGGAGGGCAAAGAAAGTGACTTTATTGGTCTGAAGATTACTTATGAAATGGAAATGTTATTATCTTTCCAGGTAATGCTGGTACAGGGAGATCTGGCATGGAGTTTTGCCTGGGGCAGAAGCGTAGGCTGTTCCAAAACATACAGTAAATAATAATGTACATTTGTGCAACTGGCTCCCACTCAGAGCAGGAGGCTGCCACTGCTGCACTGGGACCTTTGTGCAGCTCCATCCCTCTGTATTGCATTTTATTTTATTTTAGGTGATGGCACTGTTGTGTAGGATGGAATGATGCTGTTGAGGAAGGCAGCTTTTCCCAGCTGTGTCAGAAGGATGAGGGTTCTTTAACATAAAGTGCCCAACTGGTTTGGATTTCTTTTGATCCTCAGTCCTGGGAATTTGGGGCTCCTTGGGTCTGGATGTCCAGGTTTTTCCTTGATTCAGTTCCAGATATCTGTATGGTGTTTGAAGTTCTAGGGCATCATCTCCTGAAGTGGATCATCAAGTCAAATTATCAGGGTCTTCCACTCCCTTGTGTCAAAAAAATCATCAAACAGGTAAGTTCCAGTTCTGGCTGCACTCTTCCTCTTGACCCAGTTAAAAATCTTTCACTGGTATTTCTCAGATCCAAGGAAACAAAAGTTAAAAATCCATGATATCTCCTTTATATAGCAAAATATTATTGGGTTAGTATTTCTTTTCTCTGCTGCAAGCCCCTTCTGCTGCAGATAGTTGTTTTCTGACACTTAAACCATGATGGTTTTTGCTTTTAACCTCTTCTTACTTCAGTCATTCCTCATAAGTGAAGTATTTTTTAAAGCTGTCACAGTAAGCACGGTGCTTAATGATGGGAAGAGCAGGAGAAACTGGTTCTCCCTACTGGTGGCAGCCTAAGAAGAAACACCTTTCTACATGGGAGGTGCAGGGGAGGAGGAAAGTGTGATTTTATTGTAGAGTATTCAAATTAGATTTTCACCTGTGGCAAGTTAAGCTATGGGGGTAAATAGAGTATTTTAAAATGGTAATTAAAATCTGTATGCAAATGTGTTATTGTGGAACTGGGCTGTAACCACTGATGACATCAGCTCTAACCTGGAGCATTCTCAAACACACAAACCCTTTCACCTTCATTGGCCATCCCAGGCACTTCTGCATTTTCACTTTGCTCTCAATTAGATTGTCTAATGGCTGACTTCCTTCTTCCTTGCCTGCAGGTTCTTCAGGGTCTGGACTACTTGCATACCAAATGCAGAATCATCCACACAGACATAAAGCCTGAGAACATCCTGCTGTGTGTCAATGACCAGTACATTCGCAGGCTGGCTGCAGAGGCAACAGAGTGGCAGAGATCTGGGGCTCCCCCACCCTCTGGCTCTGCAGGTCATTTTGTTTTTCTTTTTTTTTCCCCTGAAAATTGATGCTGTTCCTTCCACATACCCCCAAATCATCACTAAGGAAAACTTCCTGAATGCAGTGGAACAGTAATGCAAGTAACCTTTGGAAACCTGAGTGTAAATTGGGAAATTAGTCATAAATTGTTACTCAGATGATGGGGAAGGCAGTTTGTGTCAGAAAACAAGGGGGTGGATAAATGCTCACTGGAGCCTGCTTTTAACAACAGCTATTGGAGAATTCTGTGCATTCTGTAATCTGGCACTGGTAAAGTCAGTCTTATGTAGCACAATGCTGATGCAAATTTCTCAATAGAGAAATGATGTAAAAATGTGGCAAAATTCTCACATTTCCTTCAAAAGTTTACCTTTCATTACGTGATGCTGGAAATGCATTTGATGAGAGTTTCAACAAGATGAGTTACCTGTTGTCAGTTTGCAGAAGTCTGGAAAGCTGTAACAAAACCAGCTTCCTTGACATGCAAACATCCTTAAAGATCTGGGGGCAAACCCTCTTGTGCTCCTCCTCAGAGTATCCATCTGTAGTTGTGTGCACTTCTCAAAAACCACTGCAGTGTGTGTTGGAAGGCTCTGTCAGTCCTAATCTTACAGCACCAACACTGAGCTGAGCTATCACAGCATATCTTAGCTCAAGGAAGCTCCCTGAAGTTTGGTATTTGAATGCTTTGATTTGCATTTTCATTTGGGTAGGATGCATAATACATGCAGTAAATGAAGCTATGTGCCAGGAAGTCTTTGATATCAGTCAAGCAAGTCTCCTGTCTGAAACTTGAATTATGCATTTGCTCATTTGATGTTTTTATAATTTTTTTTATTGTTGTGTTTTTGTAGAGAAATGAGCCTTCAAAAATCACATTTGCTGATGTCATTAAAATGTTATCACATCACATAGGAAAAATTCTTAACATCAGAATGCAGTTGCAGTTTTTGAGTGTAACCTTACTGATTTACTGATCTTCCTTTCCCTTTCAGTGAGCACTGCACCACAGCCTAAACCAGTAAGTGTAATGCTTTCACCTGTAAGTATGCATCTACTGATAGGATCTCCTGCATTGTTTCATCATCCAGTCAGCATTGAGAGAGAAATCTCAGAAGGAAAAAGTGTGATTTGTGTTTGGCATAGGCCTCAGGTTCAATGCTGTCTTGGACTTGTAAATGGTATCAGTTCATTTATCACCAGAACAAGGAGTTCTTGTGGTGATCTCAAGGTCTGTTGGGAAAGTGACTGTTCTGTGCAGTGTGAGATGTCCCTCACTTGGAGAATAATGTAGGTTTTTCAGGTCAGGGCACTGGTAAGAGCCATAGACAAGAGGTTCACAACCCAGAATAGCTGCTTTTTATCTGGGAGATGAGCTATCTGCAGCATTTTCATCACAGACTGTTTCCTCATCTCTAAGAGAAATTAAACCTTGGTGCATTTTAAATTTATTGAAGTATAAAATGTTAAGTCCAATTTCTCTGCTTGCTTCTGCGTAGGCTGACAAAATGTCAAAGAATAAGAAAAAGAAGTTGAAAAAGAAGCAGAAAAGACAGGCTGAGTTGTTGGAGAAGCGAATGCAAGAGATAGAGGAAATGGAGAAGGAAGCAAACCCTGAGCAGACACAGCCTGAGGAGGAGGAAGAAGCTCAGACCCCTCTGGAAATGCTCATAAAAGTCAGTCCATCAGAGGAAAGTATCAGCAAAAAGCCAGGTATGGACCTAAGGCTTTGCCAGCATGGCATGGGCAGTGTTGCCTCATGGCTGTGAGGAGGGTGTACCTTTAGCAGAGGTGGCTGGTGTCATTTCACCTTTCATTGGGTCCTGTCCTTGTGGTGAGACTGGCAAATCTCCTGTTACCATCTGAGTGAATGGCTGTGTTCAGTTACACTTACAGCACTCTCAGGGTGTCCTTGAACACCTCCCAGCTATTCATTAAGTGATATTCTGCCACCTTCTCATTTCCCCTCTTGCAGCAGAAGCCCTTGGACAGGAGGGATCTAATCTCATGGAAAGCAGCGTGGAAAAAGGTGGGACAGAAATCAACTGCAACGGAGTGATCCCCATGACAGACTTGACAGACTCTGGGAACGAGGGCTCCGTGCGACTCGAGGACGACCTGCACAACGCCAATGACTGTGGCAGTCAGCCTCACCCCCAGCAGAACGAGAGCTTGCACAGCTGTAATCACACTCAGCACAACAGTGACTCGGAGATCAGGCCCCAAGAAGCAGTGTTGGACTTGTTTGTGCCCTTGGTCCCCGAGGATTCCATGGTGTGCCAGCCCGTCCCCAGCCAAGAGCAGGCGCTCAGCGAGCAGGGGATCAACAATTTCCAGGAAAGCATCAGGACAGAGACCCCTTCAGAGGATGAGAATGAGACTAACAGCCCCACAGACAACAAAGGTACAAGAGGGAGCTTGTAAGAAAGGGCTCCTTGATGTGGGAGATCATACAAACAGAAATGTTCATAGGAACACACTTGGTCATATGAACAGAAATGTGCATTTTGGAGGCTGCAGTGATCAGAATTTCACCTGTTTGAGAGTTCTCCACCCAGGAGTAATTAACCTGACAATCACACTCCAAGCTATTTGCTGTTTGTAGGTGCTGGTTGTAGTTGTGCCTCAGTTTTGGCTTTTGAGTGCATAAATATTCCTACTTTTTAAAAACACCTATGCCTTTGGTTTTCAGTGGAGGAACATTTCCTCCTTTGAATCAGGTGCTGCTAATGTGATTTTCATTAAGCCTACACATTGTCACTTGCTATTAAATTAAGGGATAGGTATGATCAGTGTGTTCTGACAGTTTGGTTCTTAATATGGAGCAAAGGCAGCTTCTCTCCATTACTCAAGATGGGTAAATGTTTTTCCTATTTAAAAACAAAGCTTATACAGTGTAGGAAAAGAAACCCAGTTTCTTTAATGCTTTTATTTAAATATGATTTTCTTCAGATTGGAAAAATTGTGTCTTGTAAGCTTAGGAGAAAATAAGACATGAAATAGTGAACAGCAATTTAAACACATTCCAGGTGTGTATGTGTTAAAAATATGAATTGGTAAAACTGAACATTTTTGCATCTTTGTGTCCTTGCCAGGTGATATATATCTGCTTGGAGAAGGAGGGTAAAACTACTATTTGTACTTACTAAAAAAGAGTATTCTAGCACTTTCTTGCCCAGAGTACCACTAGGTTATTTGAGATTTTTGAGCAATTTGGATTTTGAAACTCAAACTGCACTTTGCTGGATGCCTCTGCTAGGTTACTGACATATTTTGCTTCTCACAGCCCTCTCCCAAATTTACAGCTTCAAACTCTCCCAAATTTTTGGTTCAGAGGTACAGCTGGATGTCATTTAGTGACTTAATCCTTTTGTTCTCCATTGTGCCATTCAATTTTCCCAGTATTTCCTTTAGCTGTTGTAATTGTGTTGCAGCAGGGAGTGATGAGCATGTCAGAAAGGTGCTGTAACATGGGGACTCTTCCTTCAAAGATTTAGGAAGGCTTAAGGGGGTTGTGAGGTTTGTTTTGTTTCTGCCAATGCCCTTATTTCAATGTTTTTTGTTTTTTTTTTAAATATAGACAGGCTGTGCAAAAAAATGCTGGGAAATAGTCACTGTTGCATATGCTCGTTTATCCTTCTGCTTAATGACACCAGTTGGGTCTTAATGATGATGTTGATAGTGCAGAGTGATGCTCATTTTTCTACCCAAGCATCAGGGAGGGAACAGTTCTGATCCATCAGGAAAACTTCCTGGCTGGGGAGAGGTTGACAGGATTTGGGTGACAGATGGTGACACTGCCTCTGTAGCTTTAATCAGCTGTTGTACACATTGCCTCTAGGAAAATCAGCTGCTGGGAATTTCCTTCTTAATCCTCTTGAGCCCAAGAATGCAGATAAGCTCAAAGTGAAGATAGCTGACCTAGGAAACGCCTGCTGGGTGGTAAGTTTGGTCTTTTCACATTGACTTTTTAAAGCTGCAGCTTCAGTCAGTTTGCCAAGATGGAAAATAATCTGTAAAACACACCCTTAGACCTGGCTGTGAAAGCAGTGACAGTTTGAAACTATGACAGGGAAAAAAGAGGGGAAGCAGGGACACAAAGAAACAAATGCTCCTCTAAACACAAAATTTCAGGCCATGCTTTGGGTGCCTCACTGCCATTTGATCACCTCTTATAGGGCTGTGAGCTGTGTCACACACAGAGTGTAGAAATCTCTTCTGTGAAATTGCTGAAGGAGTTTCTCAGTCTCCAGGAGAGCCCACCAAGTTGCAAACAATTGCTCTGATGTGCTGGTTCTGCAGCTTGTCAGACCAATGCAGTGCCTTCACAAGCACATGAAAGAGACTCACACAATAAAAATCCCAAATTTTATTCTTTGATGGTTGTGCTGTGCTGCTTTCGAATGTTTGACATTTCAAATAGAAGAAATAGCTCTTTTTACTTGGCTTCTGAAATGGCAAATCACTTCAGATCTGTTGGGAGAGATGAGTCTCAGCTCAGAATTGCAGTGCCTGGCCAGGTGATTTCTCACCTTGGTGTTGCTTATCTGCTTTAAGGTAGCAGGACCATGGCCTGACTGCCAGGGCTGGGTAGGAGAAGCTGCAGAGTCTTCCTTTATTCTGGTTTTGTGGCTTCTTTTCCTCTGAATTGCTGGATAGTTTCACTTGGAGGAGTAGTTCATGTACAGCATTTAAACAGCACTTACAGGAATATAAGAAAATAGTTAATGAGGATGTAAAATGTAATGGTAATGAGTTTTGATCCACTCTAGCTTTCCAGGTTGTTGATTCTCCTCTTCTAAGCAGTCTTGAGCTGTTAATGAAACATTTCTTGTCCTCAGCACAAGCTAATAAAACATTTCTTGTCCTCAGCACAAGCATTTCACTGAGGACATCCAGACGAGGCAGTACCGCTCGCTGGAGGTGCTGATAGGGTCGGGGTACAACACCCCTGCTGACATCTGGAGCACAGCCTGCATGGTGAGTTCTGCCAGCTGGGCATGTCCTGCTCTGGGCTCTGCCCTCTGAGCTGCTGAGGGGCTGGCAAAAATCCCTTACAAGTGTTCAGTCAACTTCCAGACCTGTTCAATAACAGGTTTCCACACCAGAGTTGTTTTTTAAATTCATCTTTTTTTCTCCACATGTGGTTTTCCTTTTGAAGGTTTTGTTGTCCAGCATCAGCAGATTTCAAATATGATTGTACTTTGCTATCATGCTTTCTGGAAAAGCAGGACAACCAGGCAATTCTGAACACAATGTCTTCTTATATTAAAAAATAAAAGCCTTTCTGCTGGTTCTAGCACTGTTTCACAAGTGCCTTCAGTATAATTTCTAATTTTCAGCATCCTCTGCAGGTTTGGAATCAATGTTTAGTCTGAGTAATGCTGAGAAGAAGCTGTGCCTCTTCAGTGTCTCCACTCTGTCTCTTCTACAAATCAAAGCTTGGGTTTTATAATTTAAGCTTTGAAAAATAGACATTTTTGCTGTCTTGGAAAACAAGCTGGGATTTTGATGAATGTGGTACAAGAAAATGCAGAAGGGTCATGTTTTCTCTGCAGAGCGTGTGGCCAGAATTACACAGTGTGCCTGACTGCACTGTTTGGCACCAGCAGCTCTTAAAGAAAATTGAAAATACAGAAGGTCAGGGGTGGTGCTCTGAGTACAAGTGAGCACATAAAGGGTGAATGTGTTACAGAACTTAGGAGTGGTGAGCTGAAATGAGTGCAGATGTTTTTCTCATTTAAAACGTGTTTTCATCTCTACAGACAGATGTTCAGAGATTAACTGTTTGAAAAACATGGGAAAATTGGGGAGAGGGAAGAATCCCAAAAAAACCCCAAGCACAACAAAACAAACTGAAAATAACCAACCCCAGAAACTCTAGTTTGGACTTGGTGTTATTTTTGCAAAACTCTGAAGAGGAAGAGGAAAGGCTAAGCATGTGAAATACCTTGGCTTTGTGGTTAACTGGTGGTCCTGCACCCAAAATTCATCCCAGGTGTGCCTGTGATGCTTTCAGTGCAGTTTTTAAAGCATTGCAAAGCTTAGGCTGCAATGGAGTGTTTGGGATTACAGCTGTTCACTGTAGTTTTGCAGGTTATTCTTTCCCACTGCTTTACTTGTGGCCCACAGAGATTTGCAGAGTCAGCCTGCAGCACATCTTAGAGTGTTTTAAGTGATTTAATGTACTCATTTCTGTTTGTTTAGGCCTTTGAGTTGGCAACAGGGGACTATCTATTCGAGCCTCACTCTGGGGAAGATTACTCACGAGATGAAGGTTTGTTTGTCTCAGGTTTTCCTTTTTAAAGTGGGACTTGAAATCCAGTGGTTGCCTCTTCAAAATGAGCCTTGTCTTACAAATCAGCAATGCAAAAGCTCCTTGCAAAAAGATTATTTACCCAAATCAGCAGCAGCTGTGCTCAAGCCTCTGCAGTAAAACTCTGTGCAACAAAGTCCATGCTCTTGTTCTGGTGTTTTGCCTTCCTCTTGCTGCTGGATTCTCTACCTTGTGTCTCAAACTGATTGCACCTCAAATTGCCCATGTTTGTGTTCCCCTTGCTCCTCATCTTTGCTGTTGCTTTAGTGTAACCTGGTTTCAGGTGGGTCTCCAAAGTAATTTTAAGGGATAATGTCTTTATCCTTATATCCCAGAGCATGAAAGTAGCATAGAGAGCTTTTGTGTGGATGAATCTCACTGTCTTTTTTGGTTTTTTATTTTTCACGTGCAGATCATATTGCATTGATCATAGAACTTCTGGGGAAAATACCTCGCAAGCTCATTTTGGCAGGAAAATATTCCAAGGAGTTTTTCACCAAGAAAGGTAAATGGAAACAAAGCAAATATCACTTTATCCCCTCATCCCTTGCCCAAATACACAGGAGTGTCTTGCTGGAAATGCCTGTTAGAAATAGGTGCCAGCAAAGATGCCATCTTCAAGTCTTTCCTTTGTTTTATGAAATGCTTTATCAGTAAAACTGCAGCTAAATGTAAGGCACCTTAAATAGTGCCTGGCATCATGAGCCATGTTGCCCAAAGCACAGAACATTATCATAAAGTCCTGAGTACCCCAGATATGTATTGAGTCAAAAAATTAGGTTTGACCTAGTTTTATAACTCTGTTTGTAAAACAAGCCTTTCTTTATTAGCAGTGTATTGCTTTCTCAAACAGTGCTCCATGCACTGCATGTGTCCCACAGTCAGTGGCACACTTTATCTGTTATGTCAAGCAGCACAATTGGTGATTTAATGAAGTTAATATTTGCTGATAGGGGAACTGAAATAGCAGGAGGTGAAAAAAGAGGAAGTACATTTTTATAACAGGCTCTAAAGCAGATAGAAAAGGGGGTTTAATATCATTGACTTCTCCCTTCAGCATGGCCTAGCAGTTTGTGTTCCCTCAGAACAGCCCCTGAGCTCACTCTGTCGTGTTTAGCTGTTCAGCCAGTTTTACTGAGCTGCTCTGTTCCTGTATCTTACACCATTTGTCTCGGTTTTTCAGGTGATCTGAAGCACATCACCAAACTGAAGCCCTGGGGCCTTTTTGAAGTGTTGGTGGAAAAATACGAGTGGGCCCAAGATGAGGCAGCTGGATTCACAGACTTCTTACTCCCTATGCTGGAGCTGATCCCAGAGAAACGAGCCACAGCAGCAGAATGTCTCAGGCACCCCTGGCTGAACTCCTAGAAGCTTCCAAGCAATGCCACAACGTTAAACTCTGGTTTACAGCATAGCCTACACACCCAGCTGCCCTTTCCCAGGTCCATTTTTCTCCTTGTTCACTTTCAGTGTGGAGTTCTTCCTTCAAGGCTTCCAAGATTTTAGATAAATCTAACCTGTTCTGCTGAGTTTGTTTGTGTGACTTAATGGGGACTCTCCTCAGCCAGTGGGCATCATCTGTGTTTTTGCCTTGATTGGGCTTCACCAAAGACTAATTGACTAGAATAAGAGATGTTTTCCTCAGTCTCCTCACTGCAGAGCACCGTGTGTGACAGATGTGAGCTCACCCAGGCTCGGATATCTCCCTTAGCTAAATTCCAACTCTCCTTTCTTCCCGTGAAGATCTCACTGACTCAGGAGTCAAATTTCCCACTGTTGATCAGTAGCTACTGATGGGGTGAGAAGTAACAGTTGGCATCAAGGTGGTGCCAGATCCTTGGCAGAGCAAAGACCTTGAAATCCTCCATCACTCTGTGTTCTTTGCTTTCCAGTCAGAAACGTTTATTTAGTTCTAGCTGCTTTTGAAAGAGCTTTTTAAACCTAGGTTTTAGTATGCTTTACTTCTTCCTCCAAAGTGCCCTGTCCATTTACTTTTTCTCCTCCCCCGTGCCCTTGATAGTCAGAATAGTTTCTGGATTTGGTGATGTTTTCTACTTCAACACCTGTGACTGAAAGGTGACAGCAAAATCAGCAAGAGCTGGACCTGACTCGACGCACAACCCTCAGCAGATGGGTGCACCCTCAGCCTGCAGAGAGAGCCTCATTGCAGGCAACTCTTTACATGATAGTGAGCCATACCTTTTGGGGGTTTTTATCCCTTACTGGCACTTTTTTTGCCTTGCTTGAGGTGGTATTCATGAGAGATTGGCTTTCACTGGTGCACTGTGCTCTGACTTGTCATTTTTGACCATTCACTTTTTTTTTTCCAAGGGAAGGGTTGCAGCAGCTGTATCACAGCCATGCTGCAGCCCTGGACTTTGAGAATCAACACTTGAAATTCCAGTGTAAAGATTTCTTTTAATTTGCTTCAGGTGCAGGCCTTCAGAAATAACTTCCCAACATGGGACTGCCTTTTATTTTCTGGGCCATTAGCACAAGAAGAGAGCTAGCAGAAGTGGAAGAGAAGTGACTTTTCCACCTAGATACTGGATTAGAAGCTGTTTCTAGAGTTACCCCGAGTAAGAAATGTTCTATGGGGTTTCTATGTAAACTTCTCAGAGGGGGTTTGGATATAATGGGTTAAATGGATTCATTTTAATTAAAAGTTCAATGACTGTGGCATTTGATAGTTCTGTGATGGCTTCTTCTAGACTTGCCCATCCTGTTACAGAGCATCCCACTCTTCTCTAGGCAAGATTTGGCAGCACTGAGACTTCAGAGTCCCTTCCTTACTCTGGACCAAAGGGGCCTTTGGGGTTGTGGTGGCTTGCAGGGGACAGAAGTTGCTGGAGACCATGCAGATGCTATCCAAGACCATTTCCATTGCCAAAGCTGCCAAGACCTCTGTTAGTGTCACTCCTGTGTGTGTGTTTGGGAGCTGTGGTTTGTAAGGATCATTCACTCACAAACCAGGTCATTTCATCCACGTGAGCAGAGTTTCTTTCTCCAGTTCAGAGCCTGGTTTGGCTTATTTATGCAAATCATGCTGCATGTTCCTTTAGTGGTAGATCAGGTTCTCTATGCATATAATAATAAAAAGGCAGGTAACATACCAAAAAGTGTTTTAATTCTGAGTTAACCTTTTTTTTTCTTCCTTTTATCTGGCATTTTCCAGTTGTGGGTCACTCCTGTATCTGTTGCAGGAGGACTGCAGACAGTACTGGCTTCCAGCTGACTGTGAAGGTAACACTGGCAGGGCAAACAATTCCTGTGGTCCTGACAGCTCACCCAGTCCTGATGAAGGAACATTTCCCAGTGCAGGGTCTGCACTCTCTGACTGCTGAGAGCCCCTGCCCATCCTTCCTTCCCTTCCCTCTGCCAGCCCTGACTCAGGGGGGTTTTTCCACCCTGGCAGCCAGGGCTAGAGGCAGCCTGTGAGCTGCAGCCCTGCAGGAGCACTGTCACAGTTCTGTACCTCTGCTCCTTCCCTGGGGTCTGTTCATTTCCAAACTGCTGTGACATGCTCACACTAAAGGATTTGTACTTGCTGTGTCAGTCTAAAAACCTGAAGGAAAATACATTTTTATTCTTTCTACTTGGGTGCCTTGTCTTTTTTTTTTTTCCTTTGTGAAAGCCCTGCAATAAACAGATTATTTAATAACTGAGCCCTAGTCTTCATACATTCCCCTTGTGATTCTGTTCTGAGTCAGGGGCTCAGGGGTGGAATTTGCTTCACTAGTGAACACTCAGCTTTGATTTCCAGAATGAGACAGGTAAAGATTTTGTTGCTGGTGTTGTGATCCAGTTTAAAAAGGGGAGAAGAGTAAAAAATAGGACAACTCTGCTGGAATCTTTCCATTCTAAAATACATTTTTCTTCAATCTGTCATATCTGCTGTTTTATCTAGCCAAAAGTCTCAGTAAAACCTTCCCAGACATTTTTTAGAGGGAAGCATAACACGGGAAGGGATTTGTTAGAACTGAACTGAACTGGAGTCCTGCAGGAACCAGCAATTCACAGCGAGTAGAGATGAAAATGATAATGCAGGCTGGTTTGTGGCTCTGAGCAGGTAATTGCTGCTTTGTCTTCTGCAGAAATGAGCTGTGCCAAGGGCTGCCATGGCTGGGTGCTGCACGGATGGGAAATGATGGCTTAATCAGGTTAATTGGGTGGTGCAGGGAGCTGCTGCTGACTGGCACCATCTGCTGTGCTCTGCAGGTGCTGGCCCAGCCCAGCTCTGGCTTTGCTGTCTGGTTTTCTTTTTTTTTTTTCCCCAGGAAAGTGCCCTTTTCCAGAGGTTTGGTGATTGTTGCCCAGGGCAGGAAACTGATTCATGGGAATTGGCCTGTCATGGTATTTTTCCAGTAAAAGGGAGACCTGGAATATGGCAGAGGGTTTCCTCTGCCCTCAGGAGACCAGCACAAAACCCAAAACACTGATGTTCTGGTGGTGTTGATTTTTTTTTTATTCATAAATAATTTCCTTGAAAGAACATGTACAAACCCCCCCAAAAGCAGCAAATTGCCATCCTTGCCCTCTTCTCCCTCTTGCTGATGGACTCAGAAAAACTTTGTGTCCATTTTGGGCTCTTCCCACCAAAGAAGCTCCACAAGAGCTGTGAGCCAAGAGCAGCCCCATGGGTGAAGAAAACAGCTGTAGAAAATCCACAGAATTTGGTAAATTTAGGCTTCCTAGAAGAGTCACTTCAAAGAAAAGGGCTGATGGAAGAAGAGCTCTGGATGTCCCTGGGAACAGAAAGTAAGGCAGCTGTTGGGAAATGTGGTATGACTTCAAATTTTATGCTTCTTTTATTTTGTACTTGGCAAGGGTTTGTGCTTTCCCAGTTTTGGGAGGCAAAGCAAAGACAATTTCTTCTTTAGCCACAAATAAAACCAATGTGACTCCAGTACCAAAATCAGCTTTCAATGCTTTGGTAATCAGAATACAACAGTGACATTGTGGATGCTGGGAATATTAAAAATCTGTGTGGGTTTTCACTTACGTGGTGATCGGCTCTGTCAGTCATTTCCCTCTTCTGTAAAACAAAAAGAATTGCAGAGTTAGTGTGTAAAGCTGAAAGGATCAGTGTGTTTTGCAGGTTTGCTTTCAAAAAGGAAGACATTTAAAACAAGATGAGAAAGCCCCAGAGGCCTGGGAAATGTAATCTGGGTGAATTTGGGCTCCTGCCTTGCTCTCCATCAGTTTTCTGCCTGCTGCTGGCTCTGCCTCCCTGCAGAGCAGTGTGTGACTGTGGCAGGGATGGAGCCACCCAGCATCCACCCAAGCAACAGCAACGACCTGGGTGCCCTCAGCTGTACCTTTCACATTTTCCAGATTCTGTGCTGCACTGGTATTTAACTCTGAACTCATAGAAAGTGTCAGCAAGTTCTCCTCACAGCTCAGTCACACACAACAATTCTTTTGCACCCCAGAACCAAGGAGACCACTGCAGCTTCAGGCCCAGAAAGTGCAAACAACAAAAAGGCTCAAAAGGCCCAAAAAGTGCAAACAACAGGGAATTGAGGAGAGCAGCCTGGGAGGATGGGACTGCACAACCTGGAGCTGAAACTGGACCATGAACCCCAACATGGAAACGGACCAAAACTTATAAAAGTGTGAAAACTCCGAGTCCATCTCGGGTGGAGCCACAGCCAGGCTCTTGCACTGCCCAAGGCGCATCCTTTGAAGTCCTTTTCACAAATCTGCTTTATTCCTTTATTCCTTTATTCTGCCTCTGTTCCAGGCAGCCTCTCGGGGCCCTGCGGGGCTGAACCTCTGTGCAGCAGCGATGCCCCCACACCCACCTTTACTCTCCACCTTGAAATCCGAGGGGAGGAGGTTGTCCTGCCGGTTGCCCAGCACGAAGGCCAGGAAGGAGAGGATGAGGGCGTCCAGGATGCCGATGATGCACAGGATGTAGGCCCAGCGCACGGTGCACGCGCCCAGCGTGTATTTGTCAGTTTTGTCCCCGCACATTCTGCGCACCTCGCTCGAGTCCCAGCCGTCGGGGTAGATCAGGCACCCGATCATCAGCCCCGTAGCTGCAGGGACAGGGGCACACTGAGCTCCTGGTGATGCAGAAGATTTTTTGCTTTTTATGTTTTACGTAAGCTAACCTTATAATTCCTAAATATTGTTTAGTCTTATTCCAAGACTGATTCCCAACCATCAGGGTAGATCAGGCACCCGATCATCAGCCCCGTAGCTGCAGGGACAGAAGGACACTGAGCTCCTGATGATGCAGAAGATTTTTTGCTTTTTATGTTTTATGTAACTTCGTAGCTTTGTAGATTGCTGCAGCTTTCTAGTACACACTGAGCTCCTGGTGATGCAGAAGATTTTTTGCTTTTTATGTTTTACGTAAGTTCATAGCTTTGTAGATTGCTGTAGCTTCCAGTATTTTTCTAATCTTTCTTCTCTACCTTTAGGAATAGTAAGCTAACCTTGTAAGAACATTCCTAAATATTGTTTAATCTTATTTCAACAAGAAAACCAACTTCAAGAACGTTCTGTTTTCCAATCTGGACCAGACACAACAAAAGTGGGGCAAAAAACCCCTCTGGAATGCTTCCAGAGGGTCAGGGCCCCAGGAATTATTACCTAGCCAACTAACTTTGATTGGACACAGTGTATGATAAGTGCACTAATCTCCTGACCTTATAAAAATTGCAGAATTACTGCACCACATGTGCTTTTTGCCATGTTGTTCACCTGCAAGCTTTCAGCTAAAGGTTTTATTTTATACTCACCCCAACTGGAAAGGTGAATTCTATTTTCCAGGCACCAACACTGAAGTGGAGAGAGCAGCTGGAGGAGCAAACATCACGCTGCAAACACATCAGGTGCCACAGGCTTGTCCCTTGAAGGCCCTGTGGGGGCTCATCCCCTGTGCTGGGCTCTGCTGTGCTGCACAGGCAGGGAGGAGCAGATCTGCTGTGCCAAGGACGCCCAGCACCAGCATCTCCTGTCACAGCGTTGCCCAGGCAACATCTCTGCTCCCTCTGCACAGAGCCCTGGCCCTGTCACTCCCAGGAAATATCTCCAAACAAAGCTGGAATGGGTTTGGTCTGTGTGAGATGAGACCCTGGCCTAGCACCTTGCAGCTGATTCCAGCTCGGGGTTTGCTGAGGTGGAGCTGCTGTCAGCAGCAGCTTTGTGGGCAGATTAATTCTGCTTGCTCAGCTGTGGTGGTTCCAGCAGCAGCTCCTCCTGTGACTGCCCTCAGAGCTCACACACAGCCCTGGCAGCTGCTCCAGCCTGGTCATGGGGTCCCCAGTGCCAGCAGGCTGCTGAAGGGCAGCTCGTGCCCCAGAATCTCAGAAGTGCCTTTTTCCCCCGCTCAGAGAAATTGTATTTACTGGGCAAAAACAATGACCAGGCTTGGGATGAGTTAATATACGAGGTTTTTGGACATGATTGACAAAAGCCCTTCACGTGCTGCAGATGTGAGGCAGTCCCTGACTCCTCTCTCACAAGAAACAACCCCGTGGAGGAGAAGCAGATGTTTGTCCCTGCTCCTCAAGGACATCTGCAGCCTCCTTAAATGCACCTTGTCCCACACCTGCGCTCCTTCTCTGCCACCAGGTGCTCAGGAAACCAGAACCCCCTTCTGGGGCAGTGGCCTTGTCCTTTGCCAATGTTTTCTTTTCCCTTGGCTTGGGGACAAGCCAGCAGCAAGGTGAGCAGGCAGCTTCCTTGCTTTGCAGAGAGGATTTCTCTTCATGGAAAAGCAGTTGGTTCTGCACACAGAATAAATCTATTTAATAAATAAATCTATTCAAATAAATAAATTTATTCTGCATACAGAATGAATCTTCCCTGTAACTAACAGAGAAATGGGGAAAGCGGGAAAGAAATAATTTCTGTGAAATTGTGCCCTGGTTCAGAGCAAAGGCCAGGAAATTGATCCTCCCTTAGCCTGCCCACTTTGTAAAATAATTCCTAAAATGCAGCAGTACCTGTCCGTCCAGCCAGAACTGCCTGTGACCATTTTCTCTCCCCCCACTCAGAACAACAACAAAAAAACCTGCAAAAACTCCCCTCCGGTCCCGCTCCGGCCCCGCCCGGCGGCAGCGGGGGCGGCGGGAGGCTCCGGCAGCGGCGGGACCGCCCCGGGGGGCGGTGATTTCTCCTCCCACCCCCGCCGAGCCGGGGGGGGCTCGCGAGGAGCCGGAGCGACCCCTCTGCCGCAGCCGCTCGGGATGCGCTGCCGGGATGCTCCGTCCCCAGGGCGCGCCCGGGGGATGCTCTCTCGGGATGCGCCCTTCGCCTCCTTCGTGCGCCCTGAGATGCACCCTGGGGTAACCCAGATATCCCCAGTTTGCCCCCCATGGTCTGTTCCGGAGTGTCCCTGTGCCCCGGAGTGTCCCTGTGCCCTGCAGTGCTCTCAGGGGTGCCCTCTGTCCCCCTGTGCCCCCAGTAATGCCCTGGGCTGTGCCCCGGAGTGTCCCTGTGCCCTGCAGTGCTCTCAGGGGTGCCCTCTGTCCCCCTGTGCCCCCAGTAATGCCCTGGGCTGTGCCCCGGAGTGTCCCTGTGCCCTGCAATGTGCTCAGGGGTGCACTCTGTCCCCTCCCCACCCGTGCCCTGCAGTGCCCTCAGGGGTGCACTCTGTGCCCCCAGTAATGCCCTGGGCCGTGCCCTGCACACCCTGGATGTGCCTGGGCTGCACCCCACACCCCTGTCTGTGCCCCAGGATGTGCCACACGCCCCGGGATGTGTGTTAGGATGAGACCCAGGATGTGTCTTGGCCCCCACACAGCGTGCCAGGGGCTGTGCCATCACCCCCACGGTCCCACCGGGCTCTGCTGCGTGCCCTGTGGGGTGTTCCAGGTTCTGTGTCCCCTTGGCTGCTCCCCTCTGGTCACCAGGGCCCTCCTGCACTGCTGGGGGGCACAGGGGCTGCTGCATCACTGGGGCATCCCCACGGCTCCACTGCAGAGAGGGACATGGCCCATCCTGCCAGCAGGACACCCCGGGGTGCCAGCCAGCGCCTGGGCAGGGCCAGGTCTCTGCCAGGGCCCCTGTCCTGCTGCCCCGGGAGAATGGGCACCCCCAGAGGGCTGCGGGCACTCGCAGCCACCTTGGGACCTCTCTGCAGGAGCCACACCTGCCCTGCATCCTGGGTGACCCCCCAGGTGCAGCTCCTGTCCTGGGCACAGTGCCACGTGAGGGTGTGACAGTCACCCAGGGCCAGCCCCAGCATCCCTCCCCTGGCTGCCCAAGGCCAGCGTTTTGTGGCCATTAATCATGTCCTAGAACAGCTAAGCCGCTGTGGGCACCAAAATCTGTGCTGTTCCCAGGGTTGTTTTCTTTTTATCAGCCCCACACCCCAGGCACTGGCACAGGGCAAGCACTTGGCAGGGCAGGCTGAGGTGCTGGCCCTGGCTGGGGACCTTGGTGGGCTCTGGCTCTTGCAGGGGGCTGTGCTTTCCTGCACAATGTGAACTCTCTCCAGCAGTTTTCTTGGTGCCCGTGGTTCCTTTGGAGAGATGGAGGATCGGGTGGCTTCCCCATGGGGCAGAGCTCCTGCCAGGGCAGCCAGCCCTCACTTTGCCCAGGAGCCACCAGCAGCACCCAGCAAGGAGGGCACTGCAGAGAGTCCAGCCCCACTGCTGCCAGCAGGAAGAAGAAGCACAGCAGTGCCTTTATCTTGTGTTCCCTTTGGCCAAAGGAGCTGCTAAGGGCAGGTTGACATGGACAGTCACCTGGGGACAGGAGCTGGGAGCCCTGGGAGCCCTGGCATGGCTGGGCCCTTGCCCTGGGCACCGCAGCCCCAATGCCACGAGCTGAGGTGTGATAGGAGCAGCCACATCAGCTGATGGAGAATTGTGGCTATAAAAAACCCCTGCTGGCCCCTGCAGAGCCACACCGAGCCCACCATGGCCAACGTGCTGCCTGCCTGCCTGCTCGTGGCCCTGCTGCTCCTGGCCCCAGCCCTGGCAGAGCAGCAGGAGCGAGGGCTCATCATGAACCTGGTAAGGGGAGAGCAGCCCTGTGCTCGGCACAGGAGGGTCCCACGGCTGCAAGGGAGGGTTGGAGGGGCCTGAGGGGTTTTCTGGTGTTGTGAGGGAGCTTGGAGCCTGGGAAATCAGCTCTATAAAGGGGTAGGGAACGCAGAAAATGGATCAGACAAGCTCTCAGCTGCTTGAGCCAGCCAGGACCCCCACCCTGCGTGGTTCACAGGGCCTGGAGAGGGGAAATGTGGTGTCTCAGCCCTCCTGTGAGTCCAGCAAAAACGCACTGTGAGCTGGGTGGTGTTTTGGGCCAGCCTGAGGAAATGCTGCAGAGCGGGAGGCTGGGGCATGGGGGCAGCGCTGGTGCTCAACACCCCCCAAACCCCCTGGGCTCACAGCTAGGGTGAGATTGAAGGGCAGCAAAGAGGCAGCCGGTGCTCAGGCCCTGCCCTGTGCCGCAGGACATCGGGGAGCTGTGCCTGCAGAGTGCCCAGTGCAAGAGCGGCTGCTGCCACCGCGTCGACGGGCTCAGCCTGGCCCGCTGCGCCCCCAGGGCAGCCGAGACCCAGGAGTGCTCTCCCAAGGTAGGTGCAGCCCTGCTGCCAGGGCTGGGCACGCGTGGGGCACGTCCCCCACGCTGCACTGAGTCGCCGTTCCCTGCAGAGCATCTATGGGGTGTACTACAAGTGTCCCTGTGAGAACGGCCTGACCTGCGACGCCGACAAAACCATCGTGGGCTCCATCACCAACAAGGACTTCGGGCTCTGCAGGGACCCCCGGGACTCCAGGAGGCGGTGAAGAAAGAGCCCCCCTGTGCCCCTCTGTGCCGCCCCTGCCTCTCCCCCTCTCCAGGCATTCCTGGCTCTAGCTGTGCAAGGATTTGAATAAAGACCAGCTTCTGCAGAGCTGCACGGTGGTGCTTTCACTCGAGGCAGGTCCCTGGCCCAGGACAGGGACAGCAGGGTCAGATGTCCCTGAAGAAGCCACCTGGACACGATGCTTTACCTGTATGTGTGTGCAGTCATGCAGCAGGCTGGGCTGGGCCAGCAGCAAGGCGTGGGCTGAGCTCTGCTCCAGGGCAGTTGGGAAAAGGGGGTGCAGGGGAGGGGAAGGTGCAGCAGCCCCAGGATCTGAGGGGGCTGCTGGGCTGTGCTTGCCTCGGTTTGTTTCCTGCTGTGGCACACAGCAGGGTGAGGAAGAGGAGGCACCTGTCTGGCAGAGCTGTGGAAGCAGCAGCAGGTGAGGGGATCATCAGGGAGGGAGTTCTTGGCTTCTCCAGTGCAGATTTCACTCCATGTTTTTCTGTCCCTGGGGATCACAAGAACCAGGCACAGCTCCACTCCCCACAGCCCCGAGGGCTCTGCACCAGATGGGGAGGCCACAAAGGTTGGGGGCACCCCCTGGAAACTTCATTTTCAGGACAAGGGGGACTGGCAGCTTGGGGGTCTGCACCTGCAGAAACACCAGGGACACAGCTGGGAGGGTGGCACAGCTTGGGGGAAGGGGAACATGGGGACAATATGGGGACCTGCTGGCTTTGCCAGTCTGGCTCAGAGGGGCTGCAAGGGGAGAAAATTCTGAGCTGGATTTTAAACTTGTGGTGGGTGGTTCAAATGTGGAGGGTCCTGTTATTGTCGTGGTGGTCCTGGCAGGAGGCCACCAGACCAATGTCCTCACTGGTGCAGGATGAGGTGGGGGTAAGGGGTGGCAGGGGACAGGGATGGGGACAGCAGCCCCAGAGGCGGGGGCACACAGCACACGGGGTCTGTGCCTGGACCCCCCACCCGTGCGGGGTCCCCAGCCCCACACGCTGCCCCGCAGCACCCCGGAGAGGCTGGCATTTCCTGGGGCACGCACCGGGGACCCGGGGAGCCCTGCCTGCCCAGGGCCGGCCCCGGCTGCAGCTCCGTGCTCTTGGCAGGGGCAGGATGCGAGCAGCGCCCAGCCCCGGCAGAGGGCAGCGACAGCAGCCTGGCAGGGACCCCCGGCCCGGCAGGGACCCCCGGCCCGGCAGGGACCCCGGCCCGGCAGGGACCCCCGGCCCAGGGCAGCGCAGCCTGGGGGTCCCCGAAATGTCCCCAGCTCTGCTACCCCTCGAATCCTGGAATGGGGGTCCCCGAAATGCCTCCAACTCTGCCAAGCCTCGAGCCCTGCAGTGGGGGTCCCCAAAATGCCCCCAGCCCTGTCACCCCTCGAGTCCTGCAGTGGGGGTCCCCTGGAAGGAGGAGCGGTGATCTTTGGGGCAGGGCTAAACTCTGGGGTGCTCCATGGGGCTTTTGTGGTGTCCCCGTTTTTGCGGTGTCCCCACGCTGGCAGAAGGGCGAGGGGGGCACCAGAGAAGTGGGAAGGGGGGGGGGGGCTGGGCTGAGGGGGGGGGGGGGCTGTGCTGAGGTGGGGGTCGCATAAATCCCCCCCTCGCCCCGCCCCATCTCAGCCCTATATTTACTGGTGAAGCCGCAGCTTTGTTTTGGCAGCTCCCGGCTGGTAAATATTGGCTTAAACCGAAAACCAGACGCCTGACTCACGGCGTCTTAACAAACACAGGAAGGGGCCCCTGGCGCGTGTGGGGCGCTGGCAGCCCTGGGGACAGGGGGCACCCCCGGCAGGGTGGGGACAGGGGCACCCCGGCAGGGTGGGGACACCCCCAGAGGGTGGGGACAGGGGACACCCCGGCAGGGTGGGGACAGGGGACACCCCGGCAGGGTGGGGACCCCTCAGGGCAGAGCGGGGCATCCTTGAGCAGGGCTTTGCTGCAGCGAGGGTCCCTGTGGGGGACAGGGAAAAGAGGGGTGCAATCATTGGGGTGCCCCCTCCTCCTCCCCTGCCCTAAAGCAGCGGGGAATGTGAGACTGAAGGGACCCAGGGCAGCCCAAGACCCTCCCCAGGCTCACCCCATCAGCAGGATCGCCCCCCCAGTGTGCCAACCCACCCCCTCCGGGTCACCCAAGGGTGCCCTGCTTCCCAGGGAGGTGTGTGGCACATCCTCCGCCCCGGTGCCCCCCCGGCCCCCGGCCGCTGCTACCCGAGGGTACAGGATGTTCTCACCCAGCCCAGCTCCCCAACCTCTCCCCGCCTCTCCCCCCTTTCCGCCAGCCCTCGTCCTTCACCTCTCCTCCTCTGCGCTGCTTTAACCCTTTTTATTGCCCCCGAACATCGCCTTTTCCTCTCCTTCTTTTCCTCCTTCTGGATTTCTTTTTAATTTCTGTGCAGATGCGCTGGAACTCCCTCCCTGCTCGTTCCGGGGTGTCCCTGCACCCCCAACCCGCTGCAGCTCCAGTGGGGTGCCCACCCAATGCCCGGCTTTGCAGACACCCCCAGAAAAGCCACCCCACTCCCAGCCTTGTGAAACACTCCAAGAAAAACCTCTCAGTGTGTCTCTGGGTGTTTGCTCCTGCAGCCCTCACCCCGGGGCAGGGGGGCTGCCAGCCCCAGCCCCTCTGGGAGGGGTGAAATGTGTTTTTTGGGGGGGCTGAGCAGCCCCTGGCCCCCACGGTGGAAGGGACAGGCAGCAGCAGGAAGGGACAGTGATTTCAGCAGGACACAACCTGATTAACTCCGTGTCCCCTCACACAGCACGCCCCAGTTTGCTGCAGCCTGGGGTGATGCCCCTGGTCCTGCAGCAGGGTTTTGGGTTGGGGGGCACAGGGGGGCTTTGGGGCAGTCCTGTGCTGCTTGTGCCATCTGAGGGGCTGCCCAGAGCCATCTGGAGTGCACAGAGGTGTTTGGGGGTGCACAGAGGCTCCTGGGGCTCCCTGCCTGCTGCTGGCTCTGGGGTTTGTCCCCCCCATAAGCCTTTATCCCCCCAGGACACAGCTGGGGCAGCTCGGGGGGGCAGGAGCCCCTCTCAGGGCGTCCCTTGGCCGTGGCAGGATCCAGAGGGATGAAACACATCCTTGCAGGGTGTGGGACACCCCAGCCCTCGGGGAGATGCCCCAGTGTGCCCCCACCACCCTCTGCTGGCCTGGGGCACCTCGAGCTGTGCCTGCAGCAGCGAAACCCCCGTGGCAGCTCCAGGTCATGGGGCACAACGGGGTGCAGACCCCAACTGCAGACCCCAGGGGTGTGGGGGCCTGATCCTGTGGCTTAGGGTTTTCCTAAATCTGGGCCAGGTTTTCGCTGTCCCAGGGAGATGGCTTTGGGACGATGCTGGCCAGAAGCCATCCTTCAAGCTCCCTCTGGAAGAAAAGCAACCTTTCTAGCAAAAAAAAAAAAAAAAAATTCATGGAAAGCTCTGGTTTGCCTCTTGTTGCCAAAACCAATTGTTGATGATTTTTCACGGCTGCTTTGGCTTTGCCTTTGCCTGTGACAGAGGGAACAATGTCAGACATGCTCCTGTTTTCCCACTCTGATATTTTTCCCCCTGAAGCTGGAAGAGGGGAAGGATTAGACTGAAGGACAGGGACCCATCCCAGGCAAATATCAGCCCCAGGGGCTCCCAAACCTGGCATGAGGATCTCAGTCTTTCCCCCATCCTCGGGGCTGCGAGTGGGGTCTCTCAAAGATGCCCCCCCAGAGCTGCTGAGGGCTGAGGACTGCCCAGCTCAGGGCAGTGGTGGAGGTTACAAGTGGGACACGGGGACAGAGAAATGGCCCTGGGAGAACATCCGGGCACCCACACACCTCCACAACCCCCCCGATGCTGCCCAGCAGGGCACACATGGAAAAAATCCTGAATAATTTGTGCTGCTGGGAGCAGGGCACTGCAGGGAGGTGGGGAGGGCAAGGAGGGGATGCTGGGGTGCTCTGAACAGCCAGCCTGGGGGAAGGGCTCCCTGCAGCTGGGCTCCCCCTCATGGGGTGGTTTTAGCCTTAAATTCCTTGAAATGCTGGCGAGCTGGGCTGGGGGAGCAGACCGAGGGTGAGGATTTTGGGGGATACCTCCATGACATTGGTGGGGATTCACTCTTGGGGGGGCTGAAAGGGAGTTGGGGTGATGCTGGGGGGATGAGGGGGGATAT